ACCGCAGTGCACAGGATGAATTCTGTTGCTATTAAAATATATATATTTAAAAAACACTCATTTATTTCTAAGAGTCGAGTACCTTCACAAAGGTTTTCACAGATGATTTCATTTGTCTCACAGAAGTGATTGCAGTGCTTGTTTTCCAGAGCTTCAGAGGACTCTAAATATGTTCTTTAAAACTTTTCAGTCAGCAAACTGAACTTGAATTGCTGGATTTTTTAAAAAACTAAAAACAATAACAACACCAAAACCACTTCTGTTACATCATTCAAAATAACTGAATTCTGAGCATTATTCCATTAGTATCACTAATTTTGAGCAAGTTCACTCCAGTCTAGGCTATTTTAAAAAGAAAATCCCCTGCTACTAGCATTCTGTGTCGCCTCCTATAGCGTTCCTATTATAAGCAGGAGATGGAACATTGGAAATAAAAGAGCTGATGTGCTGATTCTGCAGGTATGTTAGCAGGTGTATGAACTAAATGTCGAACTGACTGAACTGTGACTAAATAAATGCTTAATGTGCGAATGGGTTCATAGTGTGAAGATCTAAATCTGTGTATTTAAGAAATGGTTCTCTTTGCCTCCAGGTCTTTGTCCCTTCAGGCTAAATACTTCCTGTTTCATGCTTAGAGGATAAGTTCTGTAGGCTCTGAAAGCTGCAATGGAATCAGACCTGTGCCAGGGATTCATTGGGTTTCTTCCTATTGACATGATTGTATTGCAAAAAAGCAGCCTTCAAAATTGTTTGTTTTTTTTTATTGATGTACAGTCTAATTGTTTCTCTTTTGTGTGGTTATGTGGATTTTTTTTGAGTGTTCTTAAAAACTAACAGCAAGAAAAATTACAACAAAAAGACTTGTTGTGGTATTTCCCAGTATGTATGAGTTTGTGCGTGAAGTGTAAAGTGACAAGACAAAATGTACCTCCTAATGTAAATGTAACCAATTGCTCATAGAAGTGGAATTACAAAGGAGAAGTAGGTGGCTAGTTGAGAAATCAAATAGAATTGTAAAATGCTTTGAAAATAAGGTGGTAGTGTTGCATGCAAAAGTTGATTTTAAATCTTCTAGCTGTTGGAAGGTTATGAGCAGCACTGTCTTCCTCACAGACATTGTTCCTGCTCTCGGAATACCTAGTTGTGTCTTTTTGTTCTCTGCTTACTTTCAGGTGTAATTTCTTAGCATCTGCGAGGCAAAGCTGAGTGAGGCGGACTGCTCTAGGGCTGCGCCCTTCTCTTCTGTCTGGCAGCTAAGCTGCAAAATTTCCAGAATAAGTTCAGCAGTGGTTGTGAACAGAAACGAAACTTTGAAGACTGGTTGTATCAGTACCTGTGAAATGTTTTTAGGGGGGAGATGGGGCAAGCGTTTATGCAACAGTATGGAAAGAACATTTTTTTGTCCGCTGCATATGAGCAGAAGTAGGGGATTAGGAGTAGTCCAGTTCCAGTGGCCAGCTGGCATTAAAGTCGCTGTTTAAACACTGACAGCACATTTATCTGATTCTTAATACAAAACTGAAGTGGTGTTGACACGTCAAATGGATAAAAGCAAAGACTTGTGCATTGCTGAGGTTGCAGTTGTCAGGTTTTGAGGTTGCAGCCATGAGGAGGAAAAGTCTTATCAACACCACAAAGAGTAATAAGTGGCAATCTATTCTGAGCAAGCATCCACACGTTTTCTGGACTTTTGAGAGCATGTTTGGAGGTAGTGAGATTCCTCATTTAATGTAGGTCTTGATCAGCATATAGAACTAGCCAGTCTGAGCTTCATTTAGATCATCTCCAGGTTGGCAGGAGGAGAATGAATGGCAGTGAATTCAGTAAGCTATTGTTCTTCGTTAAAGTACTGATTAAATGTTACGTGATTATCTGTATTCGGTGAATATATATATATTTTTGACTGAAATACTGAGCTGTTCTGTGAACAAAGTATTTTGTAGGTTTAGGTAAAATGTGTTGAATAAGGCATCTTGTTTGATAGACCTCGATATATAGTCTGATATACTCTTGACTGGATATTCTAAGCTGACTGAAATAGGAAGAATTCTTTACTGTAAGTCTAACTTGCTGTAATTAATCTATTTAATAATTATTAATAAAGTACAGATTTTCAACACTTTTCCCTAATGCAAGTTAACCTTCAGCCACGTTGCTTTGTTGATTGTTGTATGATCTGATAAACATTGCTTTTCAGCTTAACTGGGTTGAGTTTACATAGTGTTATTATCATCCATAGTTTGGTTTCTGAAGCAAGATGACAGGGTTATTTATAATTTGCAAAAAAGAAGAGGGTCATTGAAATTTACAATAGAGAAGGAAGGAGGTATTTCCTGCTTTTGCTAATTTTGCCAGCACCTTTATAAACACAGTTTTATAACACTGTGGTGCTTCTTTTAGAAAAAAAATAACAATAATTGTGTAAAAATGGACATGGACTTCTTTCATGTTGAGTTCTGTTAGAAGCATGTATGGGCATATGTCTGCTCATTGAGCTCCAGTGTGACTGTACATGTGTGGGGGAGTAAAAATAATTGCTGTGGATTTATGGGTACAGCTATTGCTGAGGAATGTATGGGTAGTGATTTATTGGTTATGCTAAATGCTCTTGATCACAGTTAATGTAAGATTGCTAGAGCAAGGCACCATTGAATTGAAAAATAAGATTAATTAAAAAGAAAAAACTAAAGAACTGTTCTCTGCAGAAATCCAGCTCCTGTTGTATTTATCTTAGCTATACAGATTCCTCAATATTTGCTTGCTTAAATGTAAAAGAGGGAAAAAGGGAAAATTCATGCTTAATTTGAAAATAAAAAAAGGAATATTTGATTCACTAGGACGTGAAGATTATAGTGCCCATGTGTGTGAACTGCACTTAGGCTGTTAGAATTGCCCTGTCAGTAATGTAAGGCAATCAAATTAATCTATGTAGGTGGAAATAGATTAGGCTATTGTGTGCTTGCATACTAAAGGTCATCAGGCTATTTCTAATTTTAATAAGGCTTTGAATTACAAGGAACATTCAAAACTGTCTCAGCAAGACACTGTACCACTGGGCATGTGGTGGAAAGACTTAATATAAAGAGTTCAGTACAGCATAATAACAAAATTAAGCTTTTGTGAAGTGAGCAACTGTGTGGGGGATTATGGGATTTTTCTCTACTTTTTAATAGCTGTGTACGTGTCTGTTTTTGTTGTGCATTAGAATAATTTTGCATTTATGTAGAATGTTACGTTGAGTGATAATTGCACAGTAATAAGAAACATCTTCATTTTAACTTGTTTGATGAAAGATTATAGGCTTGCTGGATCAATGTTGACTTCTCTGATACCCACAAAAAGTAATTTTGCAACATCTGTAAAGTAGAAGATATAAATGATAATCACTTCTTAAGAGTGATAGCTATGAAGAAGTAAGGAGTTCACCCCCTTCGTCATACTGAAGATGTTCAGCAATTTGCAAATTTAGCTACTTGAATTTCTATCATACTGTTTAAATCAAGTAGTATAGGGCATGTGAAGATGGTCAGCATAAAGGCAGTGATGTTTTGCTAGGAGATGACGATGGTGATTCTGGAAGATGGTGTTTCTGGAAGCTGTCAGCAGAGGGAACAATTTCTGAACAACAAGAAAGGATGGTTTCAGGTGTATATACACAGGACAGAAGTGCAAGCAGGAAAATGTGGGTAGCAAAAATGAGAGTTGGTAAGAGCTAGATCAGATGAACCCTAATGAAGGCAGGCTTGTCAGTAGTGTTTTGTGATGAAGGGCTGGCGTAGTGTGTTTTGGGGTGATTCAATATTATGAAATTCCAGAGAACAGGAAATGCTTTTAGAACTAGAGATAAGGAGGAAAATATTTTATAGGCTTGCTACAGTGCAGGATCATAGAATGGCTTGGGTTGGAAGGGACCTCAAGGATCATCAAACTCCACCTCCCCCCTCCCTCTCCCCCCCTACCCCCCTCCACCAACCTCCACACTTAATACTAGACCAGGCATACATCAGGGTGGTAAAACTGGCTCTCAAAAGCTGCAGCTGACTTAGACTGGAGGAGTATGAGATTGGAGGCCAGAACAAAGGAGCTGTTATCAAGGTGTGCTGCAGCCTGGACTAAGAGGTGAATACTGTGTGAAGATTATGCTGAGATACTGAGAGTGACACTGAGTGGGAGTAGGAGTGGAACCACTCAGATGTGCTGGGATTAAAAAAATAAATTCTCTGGAGGAAATGAGCTAAGGTAGGGGCTGGTGGGTACTTGATTTTTGGAGTGAAAAATCGGTACTCATACAAATGTTTGGTGTTTTATATTTCTGGATGGTGCTGTGTGCAAGCTGGATTTGCTGGAAATTTCTTTGAGTTAATGCTATTGCCAGTGGTACTATAATGCTTCATAATGCTGTTGTAGAAGGAGTTGATTCATAAGAGTGTGATTTGCATGCTAATTATAATGTGGCTAATTACTGTATTTAAAACAAGTGTGCAGACACTGGAGTCTCTTCTCCCTCCCACCTGTCTTAGAAACCCTCCTTAGTTAGAAAATTGAACTTTTCAATAGTAAACATTACAAAGAGGAACTTCACTTTACCAGTGCGTTAGACTTTTAAAGGAGATTGCAATAAAAACAAACTAAGCAGCTGCTCTTTATTTATATTTTCCCCTTCACTGTAATGGTTAACCACAGTGTGGTTTCTTGAGATAACGCTTTATGGCATGGAAGCACCTTGTTCAGTATGCAGAGATTATGAAATCATATCGTTGTGCATAACAGCTCAGCTGTAAGTCAGCATCAAGTGTAATGCAATATGGCCAGCTAATAATGCTCCCTAATCTGTATTTCACATGTGGTGCTCCATCTAACTTTTTCTTGTTTCCATTCTATTTGCTGAAAATATTTTCCAAAACGCTGTTGGAGAAGGCTATTGACATAATGAGACACTGAGCTTTGTTTTATTAATTACACAAATCTATATTTATGTTTTGTTTTCATTTTTCCTGCAGGCAACATCATAAAATCTTAATCAGGTGAAAATGGCCCTTAGCAATTTGACCTCAAAGGCTGTGCTGCTCTATGATGAATGGATCAAAGATGCCGGTGAGTCATTTAAATCTAAAGCTTAACTTTCAATAATGTTGAAGTTCAGAGTGTAGATATTGTAGGTGTGCTGATACCAGCTTAAAGTAGCTTTGTCTTCCTGTACGTGTTTCATAGACTGGTCAGGATAGCTACTGACATTTTTAACTACAAAGAACAAGTTAGGTTCTGAATTTTAAAACAAAACAAAACAAAAACAAACTCGGCTAACTTGCAGGTATAACCACAGACTAATGAATGCAGGCAGTGATTACTCTGTCGGAGTTTCTGGCTTGCTTAAATATGAAGTTTAGTTTTTTTCTATGCTACTGAATGCAAAAGCTCTAACTTTTTCACTACCAAACAATGATAGGCTATTGATAGAACTAGGTGTGTGGTGTTACTGTATTTTCTTTTCCAAATACAAGCCCTGATAAGGTACAATATATTGAAATTAGCCTTCAGAGCAATTCACTCTCACAACCCTATTTCAAAGATTAGTCTCTTGGTGCACCCAATATGAGGATATTAAACATGTTTTGCTTTAACATAATGTTAGTGTTCCTCATTGTGGTAGCCATGTAGTAAACGGCATTAGCTGATTCTCAGGGAGACTTGAGAAGCAGTGAAAGATTGATAAATACTTATTCCAGTATAGCTTCCAGTACAGCTAGGAACTATCTGTCTTGTTCAGTAGCATCAGAGCTTGTCTATGAACAGGGAGTTTTAGCACTATGATGCATGTGGGTGAAATGGATTGAGATGGGTGACAGAGCATTTCTGCTGCGCTGTCCATGATGTCACAATTTGAGTTTCTCATCTCTCTCTGCTCAGTAGTGCTTGTATTTGGTGTCTTACCGTGTATTATGGTTTCTTCAGAATCAAATGGGAAATGTTCTGGTAGTACCAGTGTGAGGGGTGGATGCAGAAAAGCAATCAGTTGTGAAGAGCAAGTGACTATCTTGCAATGCTATGCATACAGATGCAGTTTTTTCTAATCTGCTGTGCAGTGGTTCACAACTCCATTTGGTTGATGATGGGCAGCAGCACTGGGCACATAACAGGCTGTGAGGAGTACTATAATTAGTTTTCTTCAAGCTTTTTATGTTTATGTAAAGCCCTGAATTCACAAACAGGTATCACTTACATGACTGTAAACAGCGCTAGAGCGCCTCATGGATAACATGTTGCTTGCATGCCGTAAGTTGAACGCAAATTAAACATTTAACAAGAATTGCAGTGGTGTAACTCCGCTGCCAACACACAGCACCAGACCATGAAAGTAGCAGTTTATGGAGTCAGTAGATATCTCAGGGTCTTTCTGTGACTGTGGAGAAATGTAAGTCTCTTTTAGCTGGGACTTGGTGATGAAGCACAAATAGGTGCAGTAGGATAAAGATGAAGTTTAAAAAGGATGGCAGCATGTGTGGGAGGAGACTGCAATCATTGAAATCTGTCTGTGGTATCTGGAAAGGAGCTTGTAATATTTTTACTGTTTGGAAGCTTGTAGTATGAAATTATGTGTTTGGGGGTGCTGTGGAAGTGGTGACATGCCAGGACTTGTTAGGCACAAGCTATGAATACCAGCTGATGGGATGGAATGTTTTCTAACTTTGAAATCCCCATGCTTATTACCTCTAACAACATACTGTTTATAACACTTGAGGATCTTGAAAAGTGGAGCTACTCCCTGTCTGTACCTTGAACTTGCGAGACAAGGCTTATGCTTTTCCAGAGGAATGCAGTCTTGTTTGCAAATGCAACCTCAGTAATCTGCTTGTGCATTGCCTTCTGAGCCACGTTAATGTAAGAAAATGCTGGCTTTTCATTGGGGAGAGCTGTAGACTGAAAAGAACTTTAGTTGCGATTCCATGTGTCTTTCTCATTGTGTAGTGTGAAGAACTGATGACTTATGAGAAGCTGCTGAGAGAACTGGGAAGTTTAGTCAGGAAAAGATGAAGCTAAGGAGAGACTTTATTGTTCTGTACAACTGCCTGAAAGGAGCTTGCAGTGAGAAGGGTATTGGTCTCTTCCCTTAGGCGGCTAGAGAAACAGAAGGGAATTACCTTGTTATAGTAGGGGGATGTTTAGATTGGATGTCAGGAAGAACTTCATGGAGAGGGTGGTCAAGCACTGCCCAGGGAAGTGGTGGAGTCCCCATCAATGAAGGCATTTAAGAGATGTGTGAGCTTAGCACTACAGGACATAATTTAGCAGTTGGATTCAGTAGGTCAGGCTGCTGTTTGGACTTGGTGATTTTAAAGGTGTTTTCCAACTATGTGATTCTGCAATTCAGGAAGAAGCATAGAATCCAGCAGGTGCTAACTCTTGTTATCTGGCTGGAATAGGTTTGAGACAAATGGTGTCTAAATCTTGATCAGTGAAAGTAACACCTGAGCCATTAAGAATTAAATACTTTTCAGAAGCCTTTTTCGGTTTTAATGAGTACAAGACAGATCTGATTTCTTTTTTTCTTCTAGATCCGAGATTGGAAGGCTGGCCACTCATGTCTTCACCTTTTCCAACAACCTTTATAATTGGAACCTACATTTATTTTGTCACTTCACTGGGACCCAAACTCATGGAAAATAAAAAACCTTTTGAACTGAGGCAGATAATGGCATTTTATAACTTTAGTGTGGTAATACTTTCCTTGTATATGACTTACGAAGTAAGTATTGCTTTTATTTGCAACATTGTTATATATTTCATGTCTCTAAAAACCCTAATACGTTTTAATAAACTTATTAATAAACTTACTAATGCAATTCTTGCTCTTCAATTCTCAAAACTGTTATTCTGATTACTTTAGTTATAGTTCTCCAGGCAGTATGCTAAATAAGTTGAGCTGGTACTTGATAAAAGAGAGTAACTCATACCTTGAAAAATAGTAATATATTTTATATGCAACTATATATAATTTACAGAGTTAAAAATCCTTGCAATGTATTTGATATTCATTGGCTATGTTTTTCTTAGTTTTATGTAATTGTTTTTATCCTATGCCACAGTCAGCAACAATGTTTCATTGTGATGTAGAATATATTTACTAAAGAATAATCTTCGGTTAGGTCTGCCTTTTGAATTACAAATGCTAACAATATCTAACTTTGAGTTCCTCATCCTCTAAAAATTTTTTCTTAAAAAAGTATCTTTGAACACTGGATGGTGTTTCAGAGAAGGAACACTGAGGTTTTGCTGTAGTTCATAGCTCAAGCAAGTATTAGACTTTTAAGAAAGCAAAGCCTGGTTACGTATAGAGCTTGTGTTGATTGGCCAAAAGGTCCTTAAGAATGAATAGTATAGACTGTTTAGAAACTTTAATCTAGAACCAGTTTTTTAAACCTTAAGATAGATATCTGCTTAAGGTCTTTTTTTTTTTTTTTCTTTTTTTGTTAAAGAAAAGCCTGGTGAAACATCATTATGCTAGTAACTAATACTGATGCTTTTTATATAAAATTTAGTTATGTGGTTATATGGTTTGTCAAATTATTCGTGAAAAGGTGCCAGATAATCCTGCCAAGATGGCAATGATTCTGCTAGATCAATTGCAAAGATCTCATCATTATTTACAATGAACTGCCTGACGTTTCTTTTACCAGCACTTTAACAACAGTGCAGCAGGAGTTGCTTGGTGTAATGGTGGTTGTTTTGAGTGCTCTAAGTGTTGGGGCAAGATGCACATGTTTGCTTTTTACTTTTTGTTTCGAAAAATCATCAAATGTCTGTTTGTGGTTTGGTGATAATCTTGATTATAAGCCCTCAAACTTATATAAAACAAAGTTAGTAGCAGACCGAATTTTAACATAGCATTCAATCTGCATCAAGATTTGTATTTTAAAATTTCATGAAAGGATGCATAGATGCAGTATGACAGATTGAATCTCTGCTATTGTCTGACTCAGCAAAAAGCTGAAATTTTTTTTTCCTCTTTGGATCCAAGCCATTTTGTGGGTGTTAAAGTATTATGCTGTGTTGGTGTTCTAAATCTTGCTTTATTTAAACAACTGATTCTTCAGGAAGTTAACACATTTATTGCAATTGCAGACTAATTCATTTCGTCTGTTACAGAGCTGAACCTCCTATCATGCATAAGAGGATTATGATGAGAAGTATTTTTTAAATTGATACAAGATGCAGTAGTCTCAGTGGCTGGCAGGAGAGTGAGCAAGTGCAATATTAATAATGTGGCTCTTGTCTTGAGTTCTAATGCAGTCCAAGATAAATGACTGAGAGAAATTACTGATGATACATGCAGGCCTGCCTTATACACCTGCTCTTGACTAAAAACATTAGCTTCTAACCCATTGCGTCAGTGAAAGGTAATTGAATCATGCAGTTAACTAAGCAAGATTTTAGGATTTAGATTTAGAGTACTAGAACTGTAGTGGATATAGATTTGTTCTTCATTAAGGGTAGTAAGCTATACTTCTCAGTTGTACTGATTTTCTTGAGGAGTAAGATTTTTGGCTGTGATATTGGCTTCCAAAAACTTTGAAAATGTTGACTTTGTGGTCTGATTTATATAGTTACTTAGCTAGCACATGTTTTGAGATGTTGTTTCTCCTCCTGTTAGTAATGCTGTGAGATAATAGGTAGAAAGAAGCTTCTTGTCTGTAGGTGTGGTCCTGGAATTACAAATTCGTTAATCTGCAGCAGCAAATGGTAACTAGCCCACACAGAGGTAGGTTTCTGACAAGCTTGCTGATCCAGCAAGTTTATAACGTTGTTTTGCCCTCCTGCTTAGTTACGGCAAAAGTAATCTGACATTAATTACTTTTTCATAGACACAATGTAAACCTATGCTCTAATTTTATGTGCTTCAGTTTCTTATGTCAGGTTGGGCAACTGGCTACTCATTCCGATGTGATATTGTTGACTACTCGAGGTCACCTACAGCCCTAAGAGTAAGTAGCCAAATGCAAGGCCACGTTGTTATGCTACTCTGACTTTATTTCGGGAAATGCTTTTGAACAACCAAATGTATTGCTTTAGAGTGGAGTGCTCTAAAGGATAATGCCTTTCAGCATAATGTAGAACATATGAGTTAACTGTAGGGGTTGGTTGTTAGGGAAATGGGCAATACATTTGTTGGCTTGTCTCTTTTGGTTTTAGAATCCTCTAAGGATGAAATTTTTTAAGAAAAAATTGAAACACAGCCATAAAAGAAATTATGTATCACCAAGGCACTCTTTTTTTTTTTTTTCCTTCCTTTCTTCTGTTTTCTTTTTATACACTTGCTGCCATTTCTTGGTTTTATTTATGATTATTAGAATTTAACAGTGTTTTTCACTCTTGCAGATGGTACGAACTTGTTGGCTATACTACTTTTCCAAGTTCATTGAATTATTAGACACTGTAAGTATTTGTAGCCTAATAAGTGATGTATTGATGCTTCCTTTTCTCAATAAAAGAACCGCTTCTATTGGGGCTGAAGGCATAAACTGCTTTTTCATTAACTCTGCGACCCTCATTACTGGAATACCATGGAAGTGTTAACCTGTACTGTCTTTCATTGTATTCCCATCATTCCTTGACAACCAGTGAAAATGCTAGTTAGACAACATACTTCTCAAAAATTAGGAAGCCCTCATAGCTTGACTGCTTATCAGCTGATTACACGAACCCACTGTGCTGCAGCAATGATTGTCTCAACACAGTGGATAAAACACAGTATTGATGATGTTGAAATCTGTTGCATGTCATCTTCAAATTTTTTTCTATTTCTTGGAATATTTACATCAAATAGCACTGAATAGAGCATAAGTTGCCATACCTATCTTCTCTGAAATCTTTTGTGTGTTTGTGTGGCCGTGACCAGAGATGCATGTAGTAGTAGGCCTGTACTCCAAACTGTTTCACAGAAAGTCTGAACTGCAGTGTGTTAAAGCAGAATGCAGGCCTTGGTCACCACTAAGAGCAGTCTGCCTTACCTTCTTTCTGAAGGGTTGGCAGAGTTCTTCTCAAGACAGCTTCTGGATGCTGGAGTCAGCTGTGATTTCTTTGTCTTATGGTACTTGGTGCAACAGTGATGATTCAGGGGCTGACTCACAAGTAGCTTGGATGTTCTATACCCTGCAAGCAAAGTTAGCCAGCTGACTTGCATCTACCAACAGTCATTTTGAAGATCTGACTGACTGGGACAAATGGAATGGTAATGGAAGTGACAGGAATGTTGGAACTGGAAAAGCCTGAATGCCTTAGTTCTCTATTTAATAATCTTGTTAAGATTGGTACTTTCTAATTAGCGCTGGGTTTGTGAAAAACTATTTGTTTTATTTGAATCTACCCAATCAGATACCTATTTCTCAGCAGCTTTTTTTTTGTTGTTGGAAGAGTGATTTCTTAGCTGCATATAAGTTAGCTGTTTCCAAATATTTTTCCTGGCTCACCAGACTTAATTTTTTTGTTTCTTTTCTTGCCATCTGATACTACCTTTCTCATGACCTGGCATCTCATATTTTTCTTCCTGTTGTGGCTTAACACTTATCTCAGTGTTTGTCCTTTTAAATCTGGCCCATCAATATCTATTAAAAATGCCTGCATATATTCTTTCCTATGTTGCCTTTTTCCAACAGTAGCTAATTTGGCGTTCAAAATCAAGTGCTCTTCTTCTAACTTAATATTTTCTCTTGCCTCTGTCTATTCCTAGCCCTTTGGTTCATTTCCCTAAATGTCTTTTCTTTCGTACTTGTAGTTCAGGACACTTAAAACATCTGATCCTTCTTGGTAACTTCTCAGTCCAAGCATGTCAATCTCACACTGTCCACTGACATAGAAGGCAGCTCAGCCTTGGACACTTTCTTTCAAAGCTTGCTCTGGCTACTGAAAATCCATAGGTGGATTTTAATACTGGTGTAATTTTTTTTGAAAATTAGTCAGTCATGTCCAGAGCATCACTTTCTCACCTTGTCCTGCAACTGCAACAATGAAGAATTTTTAAATGTACAGTAGAGAGCAACCAGCACTGACACATACAGTTTTCTGTAAGTATGTTCTGCTTGAATATCTTCCATAACATTCTGCCTGTTAAAATCTGTTTCAGATATTTTTTGTGCTGCGTAAGAAAAACAACCAAGTTACATTCCTGCATGTCTTTCATCATTCCATCATGCCATGGACCTGGTGGTTTGGAGTCAAATTTGCTGCAGGTAGCAAAGAGACAGTTTAACTTTTACATATCTTCTGGTAGCAAAATTTAAATAAGAGAGACAAATATTTGAAGACCAGATTAAAAAATTCTTGCAAACATTAATCTTTTAAAATTTGTATGCCTTCAGGATCTTTGATCTGAGATACATGACAACTATGTAAATGGGACAGTACTAATTTTTCTTATTTGACATAATTTTGTTCAGTTGAGGGGAAAAAGTGCAGAGGAGAGAGAGCTAAGCAAAGAGCACAAATATGTAAAAAAGAGGTGTGACTGTGACATTGAAAGTGGTAGAAAAGAAGTGTAAAACAGAGAAGTTTACACCTACTTTGAAGACATTAGTCCCTTGGCACATAAGAGCTGAACTGGAGGGGAGTAGTGTGTTCTTGTCATTCCTAGCATTTTTATTTTTATTGTTGTTAGGCAGCATAACTTATTTGCATTGAATACTTTAGCTTTTACAAAAGTATAGACCTTAATTATTACAAAAACTTAGGCTATACTTGTACTTCAATTGAACTGATTTATTTTGTCCTCTTTAGACTACCTTTTCTCCTTCCCTGCTCTGTGTTTCTGTGCACGCTACAAAATTAGTGTGTAGCACTAATAAATAAAGCATGAGAATAGTCGTCTGGTAGTTGCATAATGGAGAAATACATACTCCTTTAGCAGTACATCTGTAGGAAGGTGTGGAGTGTTTTTTCTTATAGGAGTTTTTTACCAAGAAATATGGTTTTTTTGTACATGTTTCTTTACTCATGTTTTCTGATGTGCTTTTTTCCTCCCAGAAAAAAGCAGTTAAGCTGATGAATAGAACTACGCTGATAACATCTGATATGTTACTTCTTGTTTTATGAATGTGAAAACAAGCCTCAAAAGCAGTGCAGTAAACTTACATAGGGGTCTTCTGAACAAGCCCAGTGTGCAGATCTTCCTTGTGTATGGAAGGATATAATTTTACTGCATTTGCTGAATTTCTGTTATTAGGAAGCTTGATCACCTCTTTTTCAAATGTTGATGAACAACTGGAATTCAAATTAATGAGAAAATTGTAATTATTTTTTTTCAGCATACAGCTTAGTATGTCTATAGACATGTAAAGAATCCCAGCAACTAATAGCCTCTCCTCTTCAACTTCGAAAAGTTCCCATTTATAAGTGACTTTCTGCCTCTTTCCTGGGCATTGGATCATTATACCAGATATAGGCTTCTGAGTTTGCATCAGATTCAAGTTTCCCATGTGATAATTTGACCAATACTTTCAGCAAACTGTGCAAGGCCTGTTTTCTCACCTGCTCAGTCATGAAGAGCTGTGTTTATTTCTACTCTATTGCTAATCTTTAATTTTTTAAAATACTGTTGTGTTTAACAATTTATTTTTTTCCAAGAATTTCAGTCCTGCTGATGATAATCTTGTATTCAGCTTTGTCACAGTTTGTCCTTGCTTCTAAGTAATGTGGTTGTGGTCTCTACTGACCAAGCTTTTCTTGATGTGATATAAACAGGAAACAAAGTATTTTATATATCTATAGTGGTGTTTTTTGGACCATATTCTTGTACTGTTGTTTTTTCCCCTCTGCTTTAACTATTTATTTTTTCTTTTGCATATTCACTGTGCAGGCCAAGAAAAGTATGTCCTTTTGGACTGTGAGAACACTCAAATTATTTTTGAAAAACACAAATAGCTTAGTTTCAAAGACAGTTTGCAATCACAGCTGGAGCAGCTATGATCTATCAAGCTGGAGGCAGTGAGAGCTACTAAAATCACAAAATAAGTTTTATTTTTAACTTAAGTGATTTTCAACGGCAAATCGACTTTTGGATACAAATGTTTCTCACCAAGTATCTGTTGTTCATTTTTTCTTTCTCTTTTGCTTTCTTCCTGATGGCTCAACATTTTCATGTTCACGATTCTCTTAAAAATAGCTTGCCACTTCTTAATTTGTACTGTAAAATTTAATTAATTACTTAAAATTACCTTCTGACAAATTATCTAACTCCTTTGTTGATCCAATGGAAAAAGAAACATTTCTTCACATGCTACATGAAATGTTTTTGTCTTCCCAGTTCCAGTCATGAGTTTGCCCCAGAGTATTGTTACTTGGCCTTAAATTTCTTTTTCACTGTATGCATGCCTTTGAGATGGAGCACAGATTTGTGAGGCCTTCATTTATGTTGTAATTAAAGAAATGTTCTGTCTGAAACTATGATTTCTTCCTTGGAGATTTGTTGGGGATTTATTACTTGTACTCCAATGCTCTGTGAAGTTCATCACGATAAATATAGGTATAAAGCAGGTGGAAGACTGCATACATCAAATGCTCTTCATATACATCTTTCATTTCAAGATGTTAGTGATTTTCATTTTATTTAAGGTCACCACAGTTTTATTGCTGTTTTGGAACATCTTATATAAACTTTTGTGATGAGATCCCCCAGAATTGGTCACCCCCATTCTAGTCGAATACTTGGAGGATTAATCAATGTCTACAGACTCCTATAGGCTTTGTGGTGGTTTTTTTTTAGTTTTGACTCAAACTGCTGAGTCCTGAGGTGTCCTTTTAGTGCACAGTGCAATATGCTACCTTATTTTGTTTTGTTTTTTTTTCTTTTTTTTACAGGTGGCTTAGGAACATTTCATGCTTTATTGAACTGCATTGTGCATGTTATCATGTACACCTACTATGGAATCTGTTCTTTGGGACCGGCCTATCATAAATACTTGTGGTGGAAGAAGTACATGACAACTATCCAACTTGTGAGTAGTTTTCCATTTGACTTCAACATCTCTCAGAAAGCTGATTGTGGCTAATACAGACAGTACAATATATTTATGCCTTTTATATTCATGTAAATATCATACAGTTGGTCTACTTGCTGAATTTTTGAAATTCTGAGTTAATTCAAAATTAATTTAGCTTCTGGCTAAGCAATTACTGCTTGCAAACACATCTCTGTGTAACTGGGAATGATTTAGCTTGAATATTTATAAGTTATTTAGAGGCCTTTTGTCTTGGCGGTATAAACTGTGGATTATTAACTTGGCGGTCTTGTGGAAATTTTGTTTTAGTCCTCCATTCTTTTTTGGGATCTGCAGCCTTTTGTGTCACATGACAATATGTGGTCAGAGCTAGAAGAAAACTAATGTTCACAAATCCTAATGTGTTTTCTGTTCGACTGGCTAGTTTACCAGAGGAATGTCCCATTAGTTACTGGTCACTGTCAAATTACTTGTTTCTTCTGAGTTGACCAGTGTGGACTCCTTTTCCTGTAGTATGGGTTTCTCAGTGCTGACTATAATTCATATTGTCCTGGCACTTCTGTCTTTAATCTCAGTGCACTAACAACTGGGAAGCATCTAATGCTACATCTCAGTACCTGAAAAAGCCCACAGCATTTTATAGATGTAAGTTACGCTAAATCTTTTTAAATGTCAGTAGAAAGTTTGTCTTTTAAACTCAAGTATTGATTTTATCTTTTTTTTTCCCAGGTTCAGTTTATTATGATTACAGCCCACATAGGACAAATCTATGTCATGGATGATTGTCCATACCAGTATCCAATTTTCATGTTTATTATTTGGCTATATGGCTCTATGTTTTTAGTCTTGTTTCTCCACTTCTGGTACCATGCCTACACAAAGGGACAGAGACTACCAAAGATGACAAGAAATGGCATCAGCAAAGATCAGTGAAAAAAAAAAAAAAAACAAACTCTTGCCTACGAAAAAAAAAAGAAAAAAATGTGTATGTCAAAGTTAAAACTTGCACTACTTGACAATCAAGAAAATTGGGTGCACACACTACACCGTGTATATTTTGTATGTTTTCTTCCAAAGCAGACCTAGTATTTTTGCTCTAAGTTATTTGGGTTTCAGAATTTGGGAAGTAGAAGAGGACAGTGTGGATTTGATTTAAAAAAAAAAAAAAAAAAAAAAAAAAAAAGTGGGGAAGGAGGAAGGCTTGTTTTTTTTTCCAACAACTTGCTCATGTCTTCCCTGCAAGAAATGAACAGATAGATCACATCTGTCTAGAAGATGCAGGAAAATAAATGTATTTGATGAGAAAATTAAAATGTGTATGACAAGTACAAAGTACTTTGAACATTAAGGGAAAAATTACATCACCCTAGTGGTTTACAAGTTGTTGAGACAGCTGCATTTTATTAAAAGAAATCAGTAAATATCATCCTTGAACCTAAAGCATATTATGAGTATAGCTAATACATAAAATCTGCTTACAAATTATATTACTTTAAAGAAAGGAATGTATGTTAATCTGTTAAAATATGGCACTTAATTTGAATAGAGAATTTTGGATATACATTCTTTTACTGAGAATTCATTTCATGTAAGAAACTTTTACTCATTTAAACATTATTCAAGATGTAGGAAAACTACTAATACGGGGATTATCTAAACTGTCTTGCAGTGTAATGATCAAAACAAACTACTGATTTATTCACCATAGTATTATTGTATTCTTATTAGTCATTGTGTCTAGGAATATATTTTGATATAGGTAGGCTACACTGTAGGGAGGAGGAAATCCTGTAATCAAGTAATAAGAATCTTAAGTTGTCACAAGTTGTAAAGAAACTGATTCTGATTGAAATCTGAATGTCAGCTACCATGATTGTAATATGCTGTATTTTCTTCCATTCTCATTATCTATAAAAATACCTCCCTTGGAAGTCTTCATGGAGTTTTATCATTGTTTTTTGTTACTATTGTTTATGCTTAACATCTCAAGGTTAATGTTTCTGTATTAATAGGACTGATTACCTTGTCTCTGTTCCTTCAGACTGGGAAAACAGATGTGAGCCATTTTCTGAATTCCTGAGGGTAGGGTAGGTAGAGGTGGTTCAGTCCAGATATGGGATTAACTCGTATGGTGTTTTCCATGGGTAGGCAGGTTGTTAGGGCCAGACATACACAGAAATTAAAGGACATTGCTATTTGTATTCAAGTTGCATTTGTAGCATATGAGTTCATTAAGGAAATGGCTCATGCAACAGACCTTTAAATGAGGAGATAAAGGTGTTTAAATCAATGTTACCTTTAAATGTACTGTTTTCTATTATGATCACTGCTAACAAAAAATAAGCTTGTGATTTTTTTTTTTTTTTTTTTTTTTTTTTTTTTTTTTTTTT